GATCCTCTCGAGAGGGGCTGAAGGGGGACGAGAAGGTGCCAAGCCCTGCAGAGCACAGGGCACAAAGACGGAGCCGGACCTCAAGTGCACATCCGGTTTCCTTGTTCTCATGAGAAAAATGATTTTGAGGGGCTCCTGGCTGGCTCCCAACTCTTGATCTTGGGGTTGGGAGTTTGAGCCCCACGTTGGGTGTGAAGATGACTTCAAATCTTTATAACAAATGATGTTGAGGACTGAGTGCCTTATGTGCACCATTCAGGCTCCACAAAACAGGGAAACTGAGACACAGATAGGTTCTAGCCAGGAAAACGGCAGGGCTGGGGCTGTGAGGGTAAGGCCAGCCCGCCTCCCCTCCTCCAGGGTGAGGGTTAGGGTCAGCACAGCGGGACACAGGAGCACGACTCTGGGGAAGGGATGCCGGAGTGGGGGCTGTCTACACTGCGGGCCTTCTTGGGGATCTTTAGCTGCCTTCTCACACACCCTTTAAAAAATTTTGTAGGTTCAGGGGCAAGTGAGTGAAGCTGGAACGTGTGTCAACTCTGGCAGAAGGGGCAGGAAGGGAGCGACCCCGCTGGGGCCTCTCAGGGAGCAGCCGTCACGGGAGGGGTCCAGGTTCATCTTCCTCTTGCCCACATTCTCTGTGGGTCAGTACGGAGCATACACGTCTGCAGGGAGAGACAGGGCGTGAAGGGGGAGGGGGAGGGGGACTCTGCCCCCGCACCCCGGGCCTGTGTCCCCTGCCCCAAGCAAACACCCCTGTGCATCTCTTGCTTCCCGTCTGTCCAACAATCGCTTGTCAAGCATCCTGAGGCTCCAGCGACAGGCGGGGCACCGGAGTCCCGGGAGCGGCCACACCAATGGCACTGGCGGCGGCGTGTGGCTGTGGTCCAGAGGCCAGCATGGGGGCAGCAGGCCACCTCAGAGGAGCCGGGAAGGGGCCCCTGTTGGCGACAGCGTGTGGGTGGAATCCTGAGAGATAAGAGCTCACTGGCTGGGGGAGGGGGAGGAAAAGAGGGTGTTCCAGGTCAACAGGTTCATGAGGCTGAGCGCACAGGTGCTGGGGCTCACACCCGGGCCGTCAGTTAAGTGTGACTCAGTGTTCCCCTCAGCACAATGGGGATAAACAGCACCTGCCTCGCAGGGTGTTTAAAAGGGCTGACGCCAGGAAGCCGGGCGCGGGGTGACTGCTCGCCTGTGCGGGCGTCCTGGTCACAGCGCAGGCTTTGTGCCGGGCGGGAGACCGTGTGGGACAGGGAGGGGACCGGAGCCCTGAGCACCTGGGCGGCTGGGCCCTCCCTTCTCCCCTCCCGCTGCCTGCCCCCGCTCACCTGTCTGCTGGGCACCTGAACAGTCCCACAGTTCTGTGCGCGGAGGCGGCCACACAGGGCAGCAGAGCTCAAGTGCGCTCGATCGTTTCTGACCGCCAGTCTCACCTCCCGCACCAGCAGCCGCACTCATGCCCGGGGACTGGGTTGTGTCCCGGGCTCTCCGTGGGCAGGGGTGCTGGCAGGCTGGGGGGGGGGCCCCTCGGGGCTGGGACTCGTGTCAGACACTGGGATGGCCCCAGCTGGCTCAGAACGCGAGCCCTCCAGGCACCTCCTAAGATCCCTCGTGACCCGCTTTGGTTCTCCAGGCCCGTCCGACTCCCAGGACCCTCGCAGAAGCCAAACCTAAGCGCGGCTAGGGTTCTGTGAACAAGGGAACTTCGGGGGTGCGGGGTGGGGGGAACCACAGGCTCTGGCACCATCTTTCGGAGGCTGTGGGGCAGGACACCCGGCGTGGGCTCCCCAGAAGCGGTGCCGGCTTGCCGCGTGACCACCACCGCCTCCTCCGGACATACAAGCTGCAGCCCGCAGAGCTCACCCCTTCAGAGCGACTGCGATCGGCAGGCTTCATTCTACTGAATTGTTGTGCAACTATCGCCACCAACTGAAGAACATTCCCGTCCCTCCGAGAAGGCGTGAGGGGGCGCGGCCGCTGAGCCAGGTTGTGTCTCAGCACTCGCCTCTCCTGGACGTTCCGTAGACACAGAACCACACAGGCCGTGGCCTATGGCTCTTGCTTTGCCATGCTTTTTTTTTCTTCTAAAGCAAGCTTTATGTCCGACGTGGGGCTTGAACTCACGACCCCAAGATCAAGAGCCGGACGCTCCACCGACTGAGCTGGCCAGGCGCCCCTGCCGCGTACTCTTCGTGAATCTTCTAAACAATCCTGAGGTCAAAATTCCCCTGTGAACCCGTGTCCCCGGCTTCCGCTGTCCTTTGTCTAGCAGCAGCACTGACACCAGGACAGCCACAGTCCCTGAGGTGGTCAGGAGACCAGCCTCCCCGCCTCACTGGCGCCGCACGAGTGGGCACGTGGTGGGCGGGCGGCCCCAGCGCGGCAACACCACCGACACCCCACAGGCGTTACTTAAAAGTATTTTTTTATTTAACTTTAATTTCTGAGGTAAAATACTTTTTTCTTTCAACTTCCATAACAAAATACAGAGCTATCAGATACCCCTGGAAAAAATATGTATATTATACATATATTTCTATAACGTTACATCATATATATATATAATATATATGCAAAAATTTGAAGACTTTATAGAAAGAGGAACGTCTAAAAGGCACTGCACGATGGAGGCGATCGCTGACGCATATGTACACAGCGCACTGCCGTGGCGATGGCGATGCTAGTGAAGCCCCCCCCCCCCGTGTGAGTGCCCCACTCACAGATCCCTGCCTCGCAATCCTGTGACTCAGAGAACACTTAGATGTTTCCGAACGAGCAAGCCGGGACTCTCTCCACCCCACCAAAATGAAAAATAGAACTGCTCTCCAAAGAATGGATTAAAAATTTTCTTTTAAGCAAAATTAAAATGTATGTTCCATTACCCTTTACAAAACAAAAGGTATACACATAATTATGAAATAAATTAAAAAAAAACAAAACAAAACAACAACAGACAGCCAACTGACTACCCGCTTGGTGAGAAGTGATGTACTTCAACTACCTTTTAATGCTTCGGAAAGTTCTGGGCCCACGGAGGAGCCGGGCGCGGCGGCTCTGTTGGCTGGCTGCTGGTGTGTCGCAGCGCAGCTTGACAGCGGAGGTGTGGGGACCCGGGGGCCGCGTGCTGCACTCCTAGCCATCCTTTTAGAGCAAAACAAAAGAGCTCAGCAGCACTGGACGCCCTTCGGAGATCACTGCTATTTTCTCTAGAGTTAAAAAAGCAAACTGTTTGCATGAACAAGCTCTTGATCAATGAAATTCCAAGATTTAGATCTGCAAAGTCTTAAATGCTTGGCACGGCAAAATGGGGGAGAAAACGGGCCTGGTCTCGTCCCCCCCTTCCCACCTGCTGCTGGGCAGTGATGAAATGCACGCAGAAGAGAAAGGCCTGGCTTTGTGCCGGACCGGCGACAGGTGCCTGTCAGGAACGGTCCTGGGGGTGAGGAAGTACCTCCCAGCCCTCTGCCCCGGGAAATGTCAACGACTTCCACATTGCCGGGCCCTTCCTGGGGCCCCTTCCTGCGCAAGCCCGGGCTCCGCTCCGTAGAAGGACCCGCCCGCCCCAGGCCGTGTGCAGTGCGAATCAACCCACGATTTACCGAAGGAATGGCAGTCAAAGGGAACAGTAAAACACCAAACAATTTCTTAAAGCCAAAAACATTTTTCATGGAGTTGAACATTTTTCGAGAGTGTTTTTTTCAAGTGTAAAAGCAGTGACTTTTTGTTCAAACAGAAGCAGCATCTAGGAATTAATTCTGGCACTTGGGTTCCAGGGGGTTACAGGTACGCGTCACGGATTCTTCTCCCTCATTTTAAAGGCCTCGAGTTTCTATTCCTGAGTTCATACCGACACGTGCCGGCCCTCCCCTCTCGTGGGCGGGGCGGCCAGCCTCCCTGGTTAGGTCGGGCAGCGCCAAGCAGAGATCTTTCCTCCACCTGCCTGGGCCTGCTTTCTGATCCGAGGTAAGAGGTGCAGAGAAAGAAATGGACAAGAACAGAACCAACCCCAAGAAGCCTGAACGGGGAGCCCTGCGCAGCCTGACCAAAGCCTGAGTTGATAGAGAGACCACTGGCCCCATCCCTTCCTAGGGAAAGGCAAGTCACTATTTGGAATTTGATCGAGGAGGACACCTGCCAGAGAACAGAGTGATGGACTCAAGTTGTCCCAAGTCACCTACCAACCCGCTCCCCGGCTCTGACCTTTCCCCGCCCTCCAGCACTCAAGTTTTTAAAAAAGACCCCCCACCCCATTAAAAGACAACCTCTGAATGCTTCTTAGGGTACAGAGCTGACTCGGGCTACGGTGCAGTCAGGGGCCCCTCCACTTCCTAACAGTGTCCCTGTGCCCACTCGATGCCCCCTTCCTAACAGGTCACCTTCTCTCTGCCCACCTCCCGGACGCCAGGCAGACGGGAGCCACTTCGGCATCTCCACATGCCACGCAGTTATGCACACGCGCACGCGGTGGCTGTGGCTTCTCTCTGCCCCTGTAAGGTCTCTCTTGCTTCACGTCAGAGCGATACTTTCCCGTTCCTTCAGGCCGAGGGAAGGGGATTCCCCGTGGAGAAACCGCTCCCCACTGTCTGGGTGAACCAGAGTCCCACACGGGGTGGTCAGCTGATCATGAGGACTAGAACAATCTAGGGAAACAAGCAAAGCAGGAACGCACCCCCATGACATGACAGACCCTAACTCCTGCGTTCCCCCCAGGCTCCATGTGGCTGCCTTCCGTGTCTCCGCCCGCCCCTCCTTCGGTCTCCAACATCCACTCGACCCCCCACTACCTTCTGCATTTCCAGGTACCACCTGCCTGTCGCCCCCAAACCCACTGTTCTGCTTCCCGTCCCAGTGATGTTCAAGGGAACAACCAAATGCCAGCTGAGAACTTAACCTGGTTTCCTCATTCCTGGCTTGTCTGAAAAGGTGTCCGTGCCCTTCTCCGGGCTCCTGCTGACAGACCCGTGTCAGGGTAAAGTGTGCTCACTGTTAAGGCTTGACTGAAGGATTGGCCAGAGGACCAGACACGACGAAAGACGTGTCCCACGTCGTGCCGCTCAGCACGCCCACGGCCACACCGTGGCCTGGCTCTCCACTCTCCAAACCCACGACGGATGAGGAAAGACGAAGATCATTTCTGTACGTGTTTTGTTTTTAAAGGCATTGGGTTCCATCCTCCCGCCTCTTCTCTCTTCCCTGAACCAGACTTCACAGCTCCTCAGGGCGCCTCCCTACACGAAGCAGGGGAAAGTCCGAGAAACGTGCAGCGGGGCCCCTGGCCCCACAGCCACCCCCGCCACACCGTGACTGGTGCGACGTCTCATATTCCCTGCGAATGTTTTTTTTTAAAGGAAAGGAAAAAAACGCCAAATAACAACAAAGGAAAAGAGGAAAAAAAGCAACATCGGAACATGCCTCTGTCCCTTTAAGACTGAGATGATCTCACTCTGCCCCTGAAATAATTACACAGAACACCTCCGGCGACACCCATGGCATTAGTGGTCTCAGCGCTCACCCTCCCGATCACGCCCTATTCCCTTTCCCGTGTCTCAGAGCAAAAGAAATTCATTAATGGCTTTCCATATATAAATACGATAGAAAAGAAGTCTGGAACCTGAACTAGACAGGGCCAGGCGTGCCGTGGCCCCGAGAGTTTGTCGGGGAAGCATGAGCCTCCCCAGGAAGCGGAGGCCCCTCCTCCCCTCAGTTCATCCACCTCCCCGCGTGCTGCTCACACCCCACCTAATTTACAACAGAAGGCGCCCATCCCGATCCCCAAACATAAAAAGACAAGTCTATGCCCCTAGAATAATCAAACCAGTCTAACTCCCTCCCCCCGCCCCCCCAATCTCGCTACATAAATACACGGACGCGTGTGACTCGAGCACAAACAGCCCCCGGCCCCCGGGTCTACGCGTCGGCGGCTGCGGCCAGGCCCCGGGGCCCCGGGCCTCTCCAGAGGGCGGCGCCGCTCTTACTGGGCTCGCGGGCTTCAGGGCCGTCGTTCCAGCGCCGCTTCAGCCGGAGCTTCGGGGGCATCAGCGCATCTTCCTTCTTCTCGGGTGCGCCGGTCTCCCTGCCAGGCCTGTCCTCACTGTCTTCAGCCACCTCTAGGGGCTCTTCGCTCGGGGCGCCGGCGGGCGCCAAGGGCCAGACAGGGGCAGCCGGGCGGGCAAAGACGGTGCCCTTCTCCTCCTCCGTGGTCCGGCCCGGCACAGTGCCCTCCCCCTGGGAGCGCTCCTCCTCTCGCACCACCTGCCCGAGGCTCTGCGGATCCTTGTCGGACGCTGGCTCCACCTTAATTCTTGGGGGGATGGGAGCCGCGGCAGGGATGGGCTCCTCGCTGCTCACCACCCTCTCCCGGTGCTTCCGGCCGGCCGGCGGTGGCTGCAGCTTGATGGAAAATGGGGCCGACTCCTCAGGATGCCCCTGGCACTGCAGCGGCGGGACCACGAGGCCCGGGTAACGGGGGAAGGTCCGCGGACTCAGGTGGTAGTTGAACACGGAGCAGGCTTGAGAATGCAGGTAGTGTTTCATTTCCTCAGGGTTGAAGGAGAAGCAGCCGCCGGCGGCGAAGGGGCTCAGGCCCGGTGATGGGCTGTAGGAGAAGATGGTGGGCGTCAGGGACAGGGCAGGGGAGATGGGGACGTTGAGCACGCCCCCGCGGCCAGGGAGCGGAGAGACGGCGAAGGGGCTGTGGGGGTCGGGGTACATCCCGGGCCTGGTGAACAGAGGAAGCATGATGTCCGGCTTGCGTTTCTGATGGCCGATGCCCCCTGCAGCGACGGCACTCCGGGAGGACAGCAGGTCCACGCCCCGGCGCCAATCGGCGGCCGGACTGTCGTCCAGCTCCGGCAGCTCGGCCTTTCTGTCGGTGCCGCTCCCAGACTCCTGGCCGGAAGCGCTGAGGGAGCCGGTGGAGAAGCGCCCAGGCTGCACGTCGCCTGTCGGAGACTGGGTGTCCAGAGGGGGGAAATGGAACCGGGAAGAGGCCGTCGGCACTGGTGGCGCACTCTGGGGAACCACACCTGTGGGGGCGGAGGAAACAGAGACCACTTTAGAGGACGGGTCACCCGCCGCCAGCACGCTCGCTCACGCCTCGTACGCATGTCTACGTGGTGTCACGGCAGGAAGCGCATGCTTGGCCGCCCTGTCTTGCAGCAGCTGCAGCCCGGCCCCCTCCCCAGCCTCCAGCCCGCCTGTGGTCACAGCACTTTGTGACGTCCTGGTCCATCCTTGTTCATCTGCACGCAAACATCAGTCCTCGAAGGTAGGGGCTCCCTGCTGTTCACAATAAGCCGTTGTAAGGCGGCGGGGGGGTTAACGGTTTGGTGGCACCCAGTACTGGTCAGTGGGACGAACAGATGGGCACCCTTCTCGGCACCTCGAAATTCTGCGCATGTATCACCTGTTGCAATTCTCAGCTTTGCAAACAGTATTATTTTCATAATTTTTTAAGGCTTACTTGTGAGAGACAGTGTGAGCAGGGGAGGGGCAGAGAGAGGGAGGGACAGAGCAGCTCCAGGCTCCAAGCTGTCAGCACAGAGTCCAGTTCGGGGCTCAAACCTATGAACTGCGAGGTCACAACCTGAGGCTCAGTCAGACACTTAATTGATGGAGCCCCCAGGCGCCCCTCTTTTTTTATTTTATCCTATACAATGGTCTCCATTCCCCTCCTGCTTCCAACATTTCCCAGCACCGAGGAGGCTGGGGGCAAACGCGGGGCCTACCGCTCCCTCCCCCACATCCGCCTGCGGAGACTGAAACTCTAACTGACGCAGAAACCAACACACACTAAACGTCAACTCAGAGGCCTGCAAGGTCTCAGCTCCCCCCAAAGGTCCTTCTATATCCAAGCTGCAGGGGAGGGGTGCCATGTGAGGCCTCAGAGACCCTCTGGGCCCCGGGCGAGTGACCCCGACCTCCCTCAGTGATGACACCAGGAGGGCTTTCTACACTCCCAGGCAGAGAAGAGGGAAAAGGAAAAAAGAAGAAAAGCCAAGTAAGTGAAAGTACCAGACTGAGAGAAGAGACGAGAGGGCACGAGGCGTGGTGTGGCCGGGAACTGCCTCCATCAGCTGCCCCCTTCCGTGGCTGATACAGCGGGCCACCCTCGGCCAGGGCTCTGGAGGTGGCTGGGCTGTGCACTGTGGCTTTCTAGGCACACGCAACTGAGTGGCCGTGCCATCGCAGCGTTTCTGATACCCAAGTTCCATAGGAACGGCTCCGGAGGGCCTTTTCCCACTGAAACCAAGAACTTAATCTTGTAACTGGGAAAAACTACCAGATGGCCCTGTATATATAATCCGAGCAGGATCAAGGTCATCTCAGACCAAAAGTACCCCTTCTACCAGCCTATTCGTGGCTTCAATTCTACTTTTTCACTCATTCGGGTCTTGATCATGCATTAAGAGCACCTGTACTGAAAAGCAGACAGCTGCTTCTGTGTGTCTGGAGGTGTGTTCTGGGGAGCACCAGGGAGGGAAGAAGGTCCTGTCTTCTCCTAGACGGTTTAGTTTTTTTGTTTTGTTTTCAAATTAAAAAATTTTTTAATGTTTTATTTATTTTTGAAAGAGAGTGAGCGAGTGCGTGAGCAGGGGAGGGGCAGAGAAAGAGGGAGACATAGACTCTGAAGCAGGCTCCAGGCTCTGAGCTGTCAGCACACAGCCCAACGCGGGGCTCAAACTCAACGAACCGTGAGATCATGACCTGAGCCAAAGTCGGATGCTCAACTGATGGGAGCCTCCCAGGTGCCCGTTTTGTTTTTTTCCCCAAACTGGATGCTATTTCCTCCCTCGCACAGGCTAAGGTATGCTGATTTGCAAGAACACAGAACACACAGCTCTCTCCAAATGCACCGGGAAGGCGCCCCCTGGGAGCAGTGCTGGAGCAGCACCCTGGGCCGTCACCTCCGGCGCTGAGTAGCAGCACCACTTTTGTACGGGTTAGACATGTCGAGAGAACAGATCTAAGACTTTGTTTGAAAAATTAGCTTGCTGCTTAAAAAACTCTGAATAACACTACTTTGGAAGATGACCACCTTCAAGGAGCCGCTAGGAAGTCTGGGTAGCAAGGCTGAAAAATCTGGGTCTGAATCTCAGTTCTGGGGGTGCCTGGGTGGCTCAGTCAGCTGAGCGTTCAACTTCAACTCAGGGCATGACCTCGCAGCTCATGAGTTCGAGCTCCACATTGGGCTCTCTGCTGACAGTGCACCACACACTCTGGGTCCTCAGTCTCCCCCTCTCTCAAAAATAAATATACGTTAAAAAAAAAAAAAACTCATGCTCTCTCTCAAAAATAAAAAAAACATTAAAATTTTTTTAAAAAATTAAATTAAAAAATGGTAAAAGGCACGTGTTTGATTACGTACCATTTGTTAGACAAGAGTATTAGAACAATGTCTTATTTCCTGGGTGTGTTAATGTAATTGTGCTTATTTTTTTTTTTTAATTTTTTTTTTAATGTTTTATTTATTTCTAGGAGAGAGAGAGAGACAGGGTGAGCAGGGGAGGGTCAGAGAGAGAGGGAGTCACAGACTAAAACAGGCTCCAGGCTCTGAGCTGGCAGTCAGCACAGGGCCCAACGCGGGGCTCAAACCCANCTGAAACAGGCTCCAGGCTCTGAGCTGGCAGTCAGCACAGAGCCCAACGCGGGGCTCAAACCCACGAACCGCGAGATCATGACCTAAGTGAAAGTCGGTCGCTTAACCGACTAAGCCACCCAGGCGCCCCTAATGTAATTGTGCTTATGGAAGACCTAAGAGGTGACAGGGGAGAAATGTCATGACACCTACAACTTAACTCAAAGAGACTTATTACAAAGTATATATAAGAGACAAAGCAGGGGTGCTGGGGGACTCGGACAGTTGAGCGTCCAACTCTTGTTTTTGGCTCAGGTCATGATCTCATGTTAGTGAGTTTGAGCCCCACATCAGGCTCTGCACCGACAGAGCCTTCTCTCTCTTTCAAAGATAAACTTTATTTATTTAGTGTTTTATTTGTTGAGAAAGAGAGAGAGAGTGAGCAGGGGAGGTACGGGCGGAGGGGGGAGATACAGAATATGAAGCAGGCTCCAGGCTCCAAGCTGTCAGCACAGAGCCTAACGTGGGGCTCGAACCCACAAGCTGTGAGATCAGGACCTAAGCCGAAGTTGGCCGCTTAACAGACTGAGCCACCCAGGCGCCCCTCAAAAATAAACTTAAAAAAAAAAAGAGAATAAATGAGGCAACAACGTCCACCATTAGTGAATCTAGATGAAGGATTCACCGTTCTATTTTTTCCACTTTTTTAAAAGTAGGTTTAAAGTTTTCCAAAATAAAGAGAAATGTGAAAAACCAGGGAGGGGGTGGGAGGCATAGAGTGAGAGGTCTCAAATCTACCTTTGGAATGGCCTGTCCTGCTCCCCACCCCCCCACCCTCTGCCCCACCCTGACAGATAATCATTTTTACTGGCATCTTCTGTACCTTCCCAATGTTTCTTATGCAAAAGCAGTAAACAATAAAAATACTCATTCAATAATGTATTTCATAGAATGCTTTGATAAAGACGAAGCTCGAGACACTGTAAACAGAAGTACTTCCAATACCATCCACATGTTAAGCACTCTACCCTAAACCATCAACAGTGAGGGGGACTGCAAGGAAGGGAAAAGAGCGCTCACTTTGCTGTTTACTCTAAGTGTCTGTGTTATTTGGGAGTGTTACCATCAGCATCTCCGGTTTCTTAAAAGTACACACACATTACCATCTGGACATGATCTCTCTGACGTACATCAAAACCCACAGGGCTCTGCTACTTGAGAGTGCTTTCCACATTTCACGCTGTTACTCAATTGTGTTAGATCTCCTATATCTGATCTCTGCCACTAAATTGTAAGTTCTTTGAGGGAAAGAACTCCTCCATAATCTTTTTGTCTTTCGGACTTAACATATTACTTGTTGAGCAAATGAATGAATCCCAATTTGGGGGAGGAAAATATGACCTACTGAATAAGAGTGAGTTTCAGTAGCTCAGGAACTGTTTCCTGAGGAATTGTTCAACAGGTTAACTGTACTCACCCTGCCCTTTAATCTCAGACTCTGGTGTCATCCGTAATTTTAGCATTTATAACATGTGACTATGGAGACGTACAGTTTAATGGGCTGGGAGAGCTGAATAATTCATAAAAACACCCAGCAGAAGTACCTCCATTAAGCAGTTGTTCACTAAATGTGACATTTCTCCGTCATCGTGAAAGTTAAACCTGAAACGAAATTTGGTCTCTCTGGGTAAAAGTTCTTTATGACCTGAGGACTCCAGCTCTTTGGAGTTATCTGTACCCAGGACGTATGCGACCAAGTGGTACACACAAACAAACAAAATGCATACTTTTGCTTCCTCTGTGACTAATCGTCATTTGATTAGGGTCCTGAGTTTAGTTAAGGATCAAGGCTGGACCAACTGCTTTCATCTGGGAGAAGAGGCTGTGCTAGGCCATTACTGCTGGGCTAGCAGCCCAGAGACCTCACAGAGTGAGGGTCCAGATTCTCCTGCCCTGGAAAAGCATTGAACTCCCAAGGGCTAATGGATGTGCCCCATTCCAGGCTCTCCAAGTGGCTGGCCTTCCGGGTTTTCAATGGACAAAAATGGGTCATAACAAAAGCAGTGAACCCTTTTTGGGGCAGGAGGTATGGAAAACCAACAAATTCTTCAAAACTGCTGGTGTGCGCACCCACAGTCTCAACTCCTCTAGGTGCGCAGAAGGGGACAAGAGTGAAAAACAGAAGGAACAGGATTCCAGTGGCGAGAATAGGTCTGATTGCCTAACACCTCTCCCTCAGGCACAAGGAAAGAAAACAGGTTGTAATTAGAGAGACGCATTCCAATACCACTTTTTTTTTTTTTTTTTAACACACGCCCCAGGGACGGGAGGGAGTGGCCGAAGGAGAGCCTGGACTGTGGGAGGAGCTCGGGCTAAAACTGCCCTAACTTGTTGTGCGCAGTAATTAGCCACCTATGATGGATCTCAGTGTTATATCCTCTCGGCCACACCCCCGCTCTGATTTTTCAAGTTTCTTCCAACTTTTCTCCGAGAACTCAGAATTTGCAGAATTATAAATCAGACTTCTCTGCCTTAACACACAATGCCACAAAAGCAGAGTACTGGTGGGCTGGTCAAAAACTAGTTAAGTACAATGTTTTCTTGGACAGGGAGGGAGAAGACTTGTATCTGAAACAAAACAAAACCGAGCCCCTTCAGAGAGAAGGGGCTTTCTGCGTGGGCAGAAGCGGACCTCAACCCTTTGTGAGGGGCGGCCACGGAGAGCGGTTAGAGGGGAGTCTAGAGGGAGCCTTGCTGCACTTAAGAGGAAAGAAGGCCAAACAACCCCAGATCTCAGCCTCCGAAGAGCTGCTGGTGCAGATCAAAGACGCAGCTTTTCACTGCAAACACCCGAACCTCCTCTCCTGCGATTAAGGATGCTGTGGTTTTGATGATATTCGCTTGATAAGGGAGAGCTTGGTAGTTTCATAGAAAATCGGAAGTGTTTGTAGAAACGGCCCCGTCTATGAAAGGGACGCTGGGCAGGGTGTTAACACTGAGTTCTGAACTGAAAGATGAACACAAATCCACGGAACATGGCTCCTGAAGAGGACAGGGCAGGAGTAACTGGGAGATGCAAACAATACGCAGAAAAGGGAACCTAAGACACAACTAAACAAATCTCTGATGCCACAGAGCCCTCCACTCCCTGTGCGGGACAAACAGGGAGACCCAAGCAACACCCGGGGGGGCAAGCCCCCTGATGCCAGTATTTCCAAAACTCCTTCAACATGCCAGGTCTTAGACTCAGGCTTTTAAAATTCTTTCTCAATTCAAAATCCATTCCCCACTGGAACGGTCCGCCTCTTACCACTTGATCGAATGTTGATGAATGGGTAGTTGGGCATCACCAGCTTGTTGAAGTTAAATTTGTAAGTAAATCTCTTCCCTTTGGTTTTATGAAGGATTCTCTTGTTGTAATAGTATCTGTAAAAACAGGAATATGTGTCAACTTACCTTCCAGCCATGGACAGTTTCTGATACACTTAGGGAACCACTCAGACGAACAGTTCCTGCTCTGAATTACATGGAAAACATCACTATCATTCTGCAGCCTGGCCTTCAGGTTAGGGCTAGGACACCTATGAGCTTACGGTTCCCATTCCATTTTCAAGCTAAGTTCTGGTCCCCGGCCAGAGCTTTACAACAACCATTGCACTTTCAGATCCTGAACACCTATCGTGGTCCCTGTTACTTTTTGTTGTCCGTCACTCTACACTTTCAATCCCATAGTCCATTTCCTTCCTGTGCCACTGTGCGTCGCTGCCTTGCCCAGGCAGGGGCAGACTGGTCTCCTGGGAGACCTGATAAGGCTGGTCTGGTGGCCTGAGCACAGAGCGCAGACCCAGAAACGCAGAGCTGTTTGCCGGTGGCAGGTCGGACGATCATGTATCCTGATCTGGGAACAAGCTGTTGGCCTGGCCTGCTGCACTCTCACAAGGATGTGAGCGGCTCTAACACAGCTGCCGTGGATTTGACATTCAAGGTCACTACGGAAGAAAGGCAGGGGCTTCAATGGACCCCGAAGCTCTGGCACCGCATCTATTCAGCGGCACAGGTTACAAACTACCTTCTGACCCCTTGAGGGCTAACTGACAAGGGGAAACACAGAATCCCAGAAAGCTTGAAGTGGTCAATCTTGAGACCTGCTGGAGCAACCTTTGGACCGACAATGGAGCTCCCAGATATGGGTCCGGAACAGTGAGGTCAGCACCGTTCCGTGAGCCCTCCTTCCATGAGCCCGCCTCACTTTCCCATTCCTTCTAGGAGAGCCTAAAGAGAGAAATTCTAACCACTTTCTAACAGGGAAGTCTAAACTCATCCTTTGCATTCTAAATGAGGTCCAATCTGTGTTTCACCACACACCCTCGCCCACTGCTGAGCAGCCTCGGCTGTCTGTCAGGATCCGATGCCAACCACGTTGGAATTCCCTCCTACATATAACCAAAGATATGCCTCTTCCCTCCTGTTCCTGTGCTACTCAGACTCAGCAGCTCTTCTACTCCCACTTTAAAGCTACACATTATTATTCACTCAGGTAGCACAGTCTCTTACCACCTGACACCCTTTTTATCCAACATTCACCAAACTGCGTAGCCTCCTTGCAATCTGTTAACACAGTGGATCTGGGGATCCTTTCCCTCACCTGAGGGCCCGGCTCAGCTTGTCGTAATTCATCTGTGGCTTGCACTTCCTGCGGCCCCAGAGGCGGGCCACCTCGTCCGGGTCCTTGATGACAAACTCGCCGTACTCCCCCTGCTGCCAGGCGATGACATGGCGGAACTCCTCCTTCTGCAGCAGCTCCAGGATGAAGTGCCAGAGCTGGATCTGCCGGGAGCCGGGGGACGACTCGGTTTTGTAGGCCCAGTCGGGAAACTGATACCCTTTAATGTGAAAAGGGCAAGATCAAGGTGGTCAGGAGTTAGGTACATACCGATCAGTACCCCTGACTGCACATTCTGACGCTCAGGATCTCTAGAGTGCTGTGCAAACATGCCATAAACACCCCTCCGGTCAGCCAGGGCTAACCACGGGGGCGGGGGGGGGGGGGAAGAGCAAAGACACGTCATCTTTCCTGTGGCAACCATCTAATCTGCTAGAGCTGGACAGCAGCACCAAGGTGTCCCAACCTGTCGCCCTTTCCTACGTTACTAAACGTCACACCTACTTTCCAAGAGAGCATGAAAGTTCCAACAGAAACAAATGGGAAACACAAACTAATGTTTTAGGAAAATACAGCTGAAAACCCCTTTACAACCCCCCCCCCCCCAACCGGGTGGAACTGTGCTTCCACCAGGGAGGAGACTCTGAAGCCCCGGATAAAGGGCGGGGACCAGACATGTTACGTACATGCTACATTCGTAAGACACAAGCCCGCACTGTGCTGGCAGTGCCTGCCCAGTCAGGGTCTGTCTGGTCCCGGTCTGACATCTGTGAACAGAGCCCGAGGGGAGGGAAAAGGAACCCCGGAGGGACATTCCAGGTACATCAGAGATGATTAACTTCTGCTCACCTCCACCTCCTTCCGGCTTGTCCACGATGCTACAGCCTGCTTTCATTTTCACCCTCCTGCTGAGAGACACAAGCCACATCAATTACTTTAAGGTGCTCTTTATTTATTACCTTCCAAGGTTTTCCCAACCTTCCGGCCCTGTTGTTGCCTCCTTATGTAACCCTCTTTCTTTTCAGCATGTCGCCTCCAAACTGCTAATCCCCGAGTCACCAAATGATGGTCCTGGCTCGGGTCATCAGCTCCAAAGGCCGTAATTACTCTCACCTGACTTCAAACCACAAAATGTAAACACCGTCTTTAATATTTGCTTTCTTCCTCCAGACGAGCCCTTCAGATGTGAAAAAGGAAGAGTGCCGTGGAAATGGGTCCAGAGAGGCCGCCAAAACAGGCCAAACGGTTTTTCTTCACTACCAGACAGGCCCAGATGCCAACGCACACACGCCTGGGTTCACCCAGATGTACCAGCTTAACACAGCGAAAAAAACCCAAGTCCATCAGCCACTGAAGAAAACATCTGATTTTGATTTATTTTGCTGAATTACAGGAGATGGGAGAAGGAAAACTCCCACCCAGTCAGAAACTGACCCCTCCTCTTTGAAAAACACAGTGGGATCCAGGAAATAAACACGCCACATGCAGCTACGTTACTTCCAGAAGTATTTTTACATTTTCTCCCGTTAACAGGGAGGAGAACAGGCAGGCATTTCTGGGAAGCTTCTGCTCAGTAAGCGCAGGGAGTCCTGCTGATCTGAATTCATTCCACCCAGATTTACAGCTCGATAGGTTTCCTGTTCCTAGCAGCAAGCAGCTTTGTATCAGTCAGCCCTTTAGCAGAAAGGAGGGAGGGGTGAAGCCGCCTGGGGAGATGCGGGCAGGAGCGGGCAGAGCCACACTCTCGGTTCCCCAGGGTGCATGACGGGCCGCAGCACCCACATCAACAAGAGAGCTCCTGGCCGAACGTAGGTGCCTCCGTGGCCTCAGGGAGGGGTGGGGGCGAATTCCTGATCTTGGAAGTTTCATCTAACCAGTATTCCTCTAGAACCTTTGAGCTTTTTTTTCAGCACACAAAGATAGTAAGTTTCAGTCTATAAAACGACTGGCGAACGAGGGCGACATAAACACCCCAAAGGAAGGAGAGAGCAGACACAAACACAGACACGCAGTCGCGTACACAACAACAAGGCCTCCGAGCCCAGGCCAGGGCTGCCTCTCCCGGCGGCTCCCACGTCCGCGACAACGAGGCAGGAAAACACCGCTCTCCGCCGCTCCGGGAAGCTGCCCCGGACTCTAAGCCCCGGATCGGCCCGGTCGGAACGCGGGGCCAACATTCTGCCGCAGGAATGCCCTCCAACCGCACGACTCGAGGGTGCGCGTCCCGCCACAGAAACCCTCCTCCCGACACCCCGATCGCCACCTCGCAGGAGCCGGGAGACGCCTTTCCATTCCGCCCACAGAGTCCCCGCGAGGCCGCTCGTCGCACGTCTGCAACCTCCCCGGGCCCTCGCCCTTCCACAGCTCGCGAGGGCGAGGCGCTCCGAGGCCGGCGCTGCGGCTCCACCGCTGCGGCGTCCCGGCCCCCACGGCCTGCCTCCCTCCGGCCTCCGGCCAGGCCGGCCTCGCCGCGGGGCCCCGCGGAGCCACCACACGAACGCGCCCCGGCTCCCCTCACACTCCGCGGCCCTGCCGCCCCCGCGCTGCCGGCAGCCAGGCCGGGCCGGTACGTGGCCCGCTGGGCGGCCCGACCCCGGGGATGCCGCCCGCGAGGTTCAGGGTCGGCACGGGAGGGCCCGGGGACGAGGCCGCGGCTCACCTCTCCCCGGCGCGGCCCGTCTTCGCTCCGGTCTCCTCCGCGGCGTCTCCAGCTCCTCCTCATCCACCCCAGCAGGAAGTGACCTCCGCCGCCGCTGGCGTCACTTCCGCCCATGACAGGGGGGCGGGGAACGGGGCGGAGCCGGCCGGCCGGGCTCCCCTCCTGGGCCGCGCCCCCGTCCCTCTCCCCTTCGCAGACGCCGACTTCCGCCGCCGCCCCGCCCCCGCACGCTCCTGCTGCCGGGCGCCGCGCTGCGTCACGCCGCGGGGGCACGTCACGCACGCTGGCGGGGGCGGTGTGGTGCGGACGCACTGGCGGACTGGGTGGGGGACCCGCGCGAGTCGCGGGCTGGCGTCTGGCAGACCTCCCCACCTCCCCCGCGGGAGTCGCCCTGCCCGCCGAGGGGGCTCTCCGCGCCCGGGGGAGGGTCGCCGCGGGGACCCCAGGGCCCGGCCGCGTCCGGTCCTGCTGTCCGGAGCCCAGCCGCTGCCTCGCCTCCTCCCCAGGTCGTTCTTGTGTGTGAGGGGGGTCATTCGCAGCGAGGGGGCCTCGGGCAGGTGGACCCCGCCTCCCCCGGCGGGTGTGGGCGCGGGCGGGTGTCACCGGGGGCGGGGGCAGTGGGCGTCGGGAAGGGAGAGGATAAGAGCGGCAGCGCGGGAGAAGGGAGCGGCACTGCAGGGGGGTTGTCCTGTTGTTTTCGTGGTGCCGTGACATCCCCAGGCCGCAGACACAGCACGTCACCGTCCCTTGATGGAAAAGGTGGCTTCCACTTTTGAATTCACCACTAGCTATTCTCTAGCTGTTGATAGATTAACGAGTATGTTGGTTCCCTTTGGACCTCAAGTTGCCTTTTTTGTTTACAAAAGAGAGGATAGGGGCGCCTGGGCTGCTCAGTCGGTTGAGCGTCCGACTTTTGGCTCAGGTCATGATCTCACGGTTCGGTTCGTGGGTTCGAGCCCCGCGTCGGGCTCTGTGCTGACAGCTCAGAGCCTGGAGCCTGCTTTCGATTCAGTGTCTCCCTCTCTCTCTGATCCTCCCCCCTGCTCATGCTGTCTCTGTCTCTCTATCAAAAATAAAACATTAAAAAGTTAAAAATAAATCTAAATAAATAAATAAGAAAGAAAAGATAGGGGCACCAGGGTGGCTCAGTACGTTGAGCTTCTGACTCTTGATTTCAGCTCAGGTCAGGCTCGAGTCCTGCTCCACGTTCAGCGTCGAGTCTACTTAAGATTCTTTCTCTCCCTCTGTGCTGTTCCCCCATTCTCTCTCTCTCTCTCTCTCTCTCAAAAAAAAAAAAAAGGGATCATAGTATTGAGGATGGAAGGTTTTGAAATGAGCAAAATTTTAGTACCGTAAAGAGGATTACCAATATGTAAGCTATACCCTGAGCTGGTTGTAAGGAACTTGTCTGTATATCCTTTGTATCTTCTGCGTAGTGCCTGGGACAGTGTCTTACATGTGAATATCAGATGTTTGGTTGAAGATTCTCTTGAAAATCATTTTAGCAGAATGACGCAAATTGTAGTTAGATCCTAGTGACTTCATATACTGTCTGTGTGACCCTCCCATTAAATTATTTAACTTCTCTGTCAGTTCCTATAGTATCTACTCACCTGACTGTATTAGATGCATTAATACACGTAGAGGGGTTAAAACAAAAGCACATTGTACATACAGCAGATGAACACACGTTGGCAAAAGTAATCACAAGCATCGTTATTATAAAAGTTCTCAAATGCTCACACCACCCATGCAAATTTTACTGGTTGCGTCAGCTCAGAAACCAGCATGCTTAGGAATGAGCAGCTTCCTCTGAAAGTCTGGAATTGTTAACTTTTGGCTCAGGCCTCAAATTGGCACTGTTTGAGCCAGCGTTTCACCTCCAAGGACCCTTTCTACACAGGGGCAGCAATTAGGGCCCCAAAGGATGACCTGAGTAAGCAAACGCAGTTAACAGAGAGAAACAGGACTCTACGTGGCTGCAGTTGGAACGGTTGCATTGACTAATGTTGATGTCCCAGCAGAACCTGAGATTGCATTGAGAATCTCCTTTGGTGGTAGTAGCCGGGAAGATGGGGATGGTGAGGAGCCCATTGCCCCACACACTCGAGGTCCCCTATGCCTTACACCTTCGCCATGGCACCACCGCCTTCATCTGCTCCAGACGGACTTCCACAAGGTGGAGGTTCTCGTTCCGGAAACAGAGAGCACGAGCTTTCTGGAAGAGCGAGGGCGGAAACACTTGGGCACATTCTAAGGAATCAAGACAGGTAGTGATCTCTCTCGAATTTCCACCTGCTCAAGGCCGTCTTTGTCCACTGCCACTGCCTCCCTGCTTACACACCTCTGCAATTGTTCCACTCGGCCAGGACAAGCTCTGTTCTAACTTCCACGCTCCCCACTCTGCTCTTGCCACACCATCGCTCCTTCACTTTCGAAAAAGAGAAAAAGAACTCAGGTTTATCTTTCTTCCAGAAACACCTTTCCTGGGTTGGTGTGTGCATTTGCTTGTGTGTGTGTGTGTGTGTGTGTGTGTGTTTCTTCTTGGCCCAGCTTGCTCTTCTTACTGTTCCCATGATCGTTTATGCACTTAAATTCTCTACATCCCAAACTGACCTGGCCACATATATGCTAGAATGTTTTCCTCTCTACCCTTGTAGCAGATTAACGCGGTAGATCTACTACTGCAGTAGATACCATCTGTATGTCATGCACATATTTGTTCTTCTTGGTGTGTTTGTCTTAGACGGCAGGCCTTCTGAGGTTAGGACTGCAGCAGACCTCATGGTGCCCAGAGCGGTCCTGTGTCATCGCTTGAAATGCCTGATGATGGTAATCTTTGCCAACACATGGGCTGGTGCACTGCCGAGACTGGCTTCTTCCCACCTTCCCTTAATCTCCTCTACGTCTCCCAGTAAAAATTGGACGGCTTCTCTCCCTCAAGGGCATTCTCATTGAACTTGGATTCAGAAGACCCAAGTTTCAGTCCCAGTTCTGCCCTTTGCTAACTGTGCCCTCTGACAAGCCGCTAAACAAGTCCTGGCCTCCTCGTCTGTAAGAGTGGGATGCCGTTGATGTCTTTGATGAGGACAGAATGTCATGGTAGCTGTTGGGGACATTTGTCCACTGTAAACTCTTTCCGAAGGTCATGAACCGTAATTACTCTTGCTACCATCCCCGGCTCCACACCTCTTAGTATCGAGAACTTGAACTATACACTGTAATCACCTCATTTCACAAACCTTGAGTGAATTTGGTGTTGCAGACTTGGGTGGGAATCTAATGGAAGAGAATTTTGCTTTGAGAATTCGGGGGGGGGTTTAAATTTTTTTAATGTTTTATTTATTTCTAGGAGAGAGAGAGACAGCTTGAGCAGGGGAGGGTCAGAGAGAGAGGGAGTCACAGACTCTGAAACAGGCTCCAGGCTCTGAGCTGGCAGTCAGCACAGAGCCCGACGCGGGGCTCGAACCCACGAACTGCGAGATCATGACCCGAGCGAAAGTCTGACGCTTAACCGACTAAGCCACCTGGGCGCCCCGAGAATTCGTTTTTTTTTTTTTTTTTTTTATTTTTATTGTTTTTTTTATTTCTGAGAGAGAGAGAGAGACAGCGTGAGCAGGGGAGGGTCAGAGAGAGAGGGTGACACAGAATCTGAAGCAGGCTCCAGGCTCTGAGCTAGCTGTCAGCACAGAGCCTGACGACGCGGGGCTTGAACCCGCGAACCGTGAGATCATGACCTGAGCTGAAGTCAGACGCTTAACCGACTGAGCCATCCAGGCGCCCCGAGAATTTGGGCTGTTGAGCTTCTCGTCCAGGCACTATTTTTTTTATGAGGCTTGCCTTGAGACAGTGCATTTCAGTCACTCTGAGACTCAGTATCTGTATCCCCATCCATAAAATCACCATAAGATGTTTCAGAAAGAAAATACCGTACCATCAGAACATTATTTATATCGGTAAAGTCAAAGGCTGAAGAGTGTACATGAAATGAACTTACTTCCTTCCCTTGTGACCCAGGTGCCCTTTCAGTAAAGTGATTATGAAGGAATCAACTTTGGCTATAGATTATTTGTATTTTACCACATTGAACTCAAGTAGATCATAAGATTTCTGTGTTTTGGTTTATTTTTCCCATCAGCGTAGGGTGGTTGTAAAGATAGAGGAGTTAATGTCAGTAACATGAGTGGGGATCCCCAGATTAAAGGTTAAGTGAATCCAAAGGAGAAGTAACTTGGCCCAGAGTTACAGCTCAACCAGGAGGGGCAGAGCCTGTGTGTTTGTGTAGCAGTGACTTGGGGACTCAAGGACTCTCCCTGACCACGTCTGTCACACTCCACAAATACCCCTTCCTCTCATTTCCTCTTTTCAGGTCTTGGTTCCCCGATCTCAGCTCAGCACAGGGGAGACGGTAGTCAGAAGTCACGAAGGAACAGAACAGGAGAGCAGGATTGTCATGAGGAAACAGCCACTTAGGCTATTTTGACTTTTTTCTTTTTCTTTTTCCTGGCAGCCCAGGAGAAAGGTTCTCCTACCCAAATGTATGCTTGTCAGTAGCTACATAGTTCTGAAAGCTCGCTTCACCCAGGAAGCCCGCGGAAGTTAATTGGAGCAGCGGGCTGACTCCTCCTGACCTTGACCCCTCCAGGACACATTCCCCAAGGTCCTTGCGTACCCATTCCCCACTCTTGTAAGCCTGAAGCCTTGACCTGTTTGCTACACGAGCCTTTTTGCTCTCTTTTGTATTTGTTCACTGTTCGTATCCGGCTCTTACTGTCTACTCTTTACATCGTTTGTTTTCCTAAGAGGGCAGACACCGTGTCTATCTAATTCTTATTATACAATAGCAATAAACATGGTAATCCTTGTAATAGAGACTTGGGATCATAGTCTAACAAACGCCCATATTAATTGTAGCAAACAATGGAATGAGGCCTCGACTCACATTCGTTAAAAGGCAATCACCTTAAAAATATTTTAGGAAAGCGTCCCTTTAATCATTGCCCATGTATTTTTGGATGTGTAGAATCTTAGAGATGGACTGGATGTCAGAGGTCATTACCGCATCCCCTCGCCACAC